TGAATTGATAAACTGCGTGCGCATCCTAACCCAAAAAGACGGAGTAAGTTAGACGATCGAACTAAACAGCCGGACGGAACAGCCGGACGGAGTAGCCGAACTAAACGACCCAATGAAATAATTGGACGATAGGGACGGTCGAAATAACCGAACGGAACGATTTAGCTGATACGAACGAAACAGACGAAACATACGAACGGTGCTCGAACGGTGAACGATCGCTTTCTAGACGCTAGACTACCGCTAACCGCACGCAAGCCGCACGCAGAACGAACTGAACCTAGGTGGATACTTGGGCGTAATTCTAACTGTATGGTCAGCTGGACACCAGCGTCCAGCCACTTCAATTCCAATTTCAATTATTTTATTACTTAAGGTGTATGGTAGACAAATTTTAATGGAAGGGGATTAGTTGAGGGGTGGTCAGCTGGACACCAGCTTCCAGTCACTTAAGGTGTATGGTTAGCTGGACACCAGCCTCCAGTCCCTTAAGGTGTATGGTCAGCTGGACACCAGCCTCCAGTCACTTAAGGTGTATGGTCAGCTGGAAACCAGCCTCCAGCCACTCAAGGTGTATGGTCAGCTGGACACCAGCCTCCAGCCACTTAAGGTATATGGTTAGCTGGACACCAGCCTCCAGCCACTTAAGGTGTATGGTCAGCTGGACACCAGCTTCCAGTCACTTAAGGTGTATGGTTAGCTGGACCCCAGCTTCCAGTCACTTAAGGTGTATGGTAAACTGGACACCAGCCTCAAGTCACTTAAGGTATATGGTCAGCTGGACACCAGCTTCCAGTCACTTAAGGTGTATGGTTAGCTGGACACCAGCCTGCAGTCACTTAAGGTATATGGTAAGCTGGACACCAGCTTCCAGTCACTTAAGGTATATGGAAAGCTGGATACCAGCCTCCAGCCACTTAAGGTGTATGGAAAGCTGGACACCAGCCTGCAGTCACTTAAGGTGTATGGTAAACTGGACACCAGCCTGCAGTCACTTAAGGTGTATGGTTAGCTGGACACCAGCCTCCAGTCCCTTAAGGTGTATGGTCAGCTGGACACCAGCCTCCAGCGACTTAAGGTGTATGGTTAGCTGGACACCAGCCTCCAGTCTCTTAAGGTGTATGGTTAGCTGGACACCAGCCTCCAGTCCCTTAAGGTGTATGGTCAGCTGGACCCCAGCTTCCAGCCACTTAAGGTATATTGTTAGCTGGACACCAGCTTCCAGTCACATAAGGTGTATGGTCAGCTGGACACCAGCCTCCAGCCACTTAAGGTATATTGTTAGCTGGACACCAGCTTCCAGTCACTTAAGGTGTATGGTCAGCTGGACACCAGCCTCCAGCCACTTAAGGTATATGGTTAGCTGGACACCAGCCTCCAACCACTTAAGGTGTATGGTCAGCTGGACACCAGCTTCCAGTCACCTAAGGTGTATGGTTAGCTGGACACCAGCCTCCAGTCCCCTAAGGTATATGGTAAGCTGGACACTAGCCTCCAGCCACTTAAGGTGTATGGTTAGCTGGACCCCAGCCTCCAGTCCCTTAAGGTGTATGGTCAGCTGGACCCCAGCTTCCAGTCACTTAAGGTGTATGGTTAGCTGGACACCAGCCTCCAGTCACCTAAGGTATATGGTAAGCTGGACACTAGCCTCCAGCCACTTAAGGTGTATGGTAGACTGGACACCAGCCTCCAGCCACTTAAAGTGTGTGGTAAGCTTGACACCAGCCTCCAGCCACTTAAGGTGTATGGTTAGCTGGACACCAGCTTCCAGCCACTTAAGGTGTATGGTTAGCTTGACACCAGCTTCCAGCCACCTACCACAGGAGAGAAGCCATTGTACTCACCCTCAGTCTATAAATATATCTTTTCTTTGACAATTTCAATTTCAAGATTTTAGGAAAATTTGTTTTAAAAGTGTGAAGGCATACCATAGAACAAAGGCTGTCAAACAGATGTCCTCATGGATCATCAGACGATTTATAACCTGTACTCAATCGGAGAGGGAATTGTCAACAATATTTGTTTTTTTATATCATCCCTTGAGGAAGTTTTTAGTCATAACTAATCCAGTTTCAAATACAGTTGTGATGACCAAAACCATATCCACTACCTAAGCTTTTAAATGACACAGATCTTGCACATTATGGTGTAAGATTCTATCAGCAAAAGACAAAGAGAATAACCTACCTTTCTTAACCGCTTCATCCTCTGAGCTGTCATCATCTGTCCCAGAGGAGGAAATATTAGCTGGATCATCACCTGACATAAAAACAATATGTCATACTTAACAAGCTGTCTTTAAATATCTTTAGTAGATTTTATAGGTTGTATTAAAAATTGTAGTTATTGAGGTGAAATATTGTACTTCATGACATTGGACCACAGACAAATCATACGTTCAATAATACTTTTCTTCTGACATACGTGATGCTTCTGTGACATTTATCCACTGAAAAAGTTTTCCTTTTTCGAAGACTGTCCACTGAGAAGTAGTTTCATGAGTCTTTGACCAATGTCAGAATGCCATATCTATTTGATTTGACCTCTAGTAGTATCATGCCAATTTTAAGAAATCGGTACAAATGACTGTTTAACTGGTGGATTTTGCAGTAAGCATTTATTTGAGGTAAAAGTACTCTAGTGAGATGCTGTTTACTAATTTAAAATTTAATGCACTACTTGGTCGCCGCAGGGTGTGTAAGAGTCGTATCTATAATTCCTTCATCGGAATGAAGCTTGTAGTCATTATAGATTTTTTTACACAAATTTTTTCTTCTTGACTGATCGCTACTTATCATCACCTGTTTCATTACTAATGCATAAGTTACTGATCTACAATGCTGAAAAACAGCGATTCTTCAAATCTACCGGGGGGATGGTGTTGCTGGGGAGCTCGGCGCTGTACACCTGACAAAGAGAGGTGTAATGTTATACAGAGGAACACTGGAATGCTGTCCCATACATGTGTGCTTTTAAAACAGAAATGAGGAATCCGGTTTTTATGATAGATCTTGTGCAGTCTTAACCAATATGGCTGATGGCTGCCATGTTTTTTGCCTCCATTTTATGGCTAGACAATGTTACAGCTTTATAAGAAAAAGAAATGACCTTTGAAGCCGTAGATAAGACACACGTGTTTAATTGTCCCGGTAGCTGGAATGAACATGTTAAAACCTGACGATAAAATGCTAACTTTGTCATTTAGTTCCTGAGGTAAACATGTTCAAGATATTTGTGATACACCGATACTGTTTAAAACTGCCCGTGTCTCTTACATAACACCAGCCACTTAAATTGCAGTGAGTAAAAATCAGCGCTGTTGGGAATTACTGGTGTATTACCTCCCTTCCCTTGACAGACTCGTATTTAGGTGTTATGTAACAAAGTCTATTTTGTTATATCACATAACCAAATCTACAGCAGTTTGTTATATATAACCAGACCTACATCTGTACGAAATACAACAGGCCCAATGGGCCTATATTACTCATGATCACCTGTCATTCATTTCACTTTCATTACCTTCAAAGATCGATAGTCAAGGTCTAATTTATTTAAATAGGCAAATATCATTACTTTACACATTAGGGGTCTTTGGTGAAGGATTTTTGGACTCTACATCTTATGAATCTTCATTTGAAGACTTTAAGTGATTTTACTTATCTGACCTTCAAAGTTGGTTGGTCTAAGACATTCGTTCAGAAAGCCTTTATCCCATTTTAGATTTAAATAAGAAATCTGCATTTGAGTTTGAATCTTAATCTTAATCTTAAAAGATATTAACTTTATTTTCAAATGTTCAAATATTTGTAATACAAATATTTTTTTTATTTGAATTTCAAATCAGAAGATTTTTTCCTTAATTGTCAAACTTTTTTAAAATTTCAAACTCCAATTTAACTCCAGATGCATCTATGGTGTATCATTTGAGTTGATGTAGGACTTCAACGTTTTGAGATCACATGACTTAACAATGAAGGTGATGCTACAACAGCTGCTGGACCACGACATCCATCCAGATAAGACAATAACAAAATTAGAAGTACTGCAACCAGGGTGTTCAAGACAGAATGATAAAATTAGTTACCTATAACAACAATATAAAGTGTTTTCTTAACATATGCAAAATAATCTCAATATGATATTGACCCTGTATATCAAGTATAAGAGTATAAGATCATACCCAGGACCACACCAATAGTTCATTTGTTTAAACAGGTTTTTAGATTTCAAACACGCTACAAATCATCTACAACATTGATGAAACTTTTCTCCTTGTGGGTCAGAGGATATGACAGGGGAGCCACCGGTATTCTCACTAAATAAATGACTTCTCCCCAGCAAGGTCTGCCTGACCTTGACCCAATGCAGGAGCGGAATCGTCCCCAAGTGCTTTATAAGATTAACGACTTAAACTCGGTTTAAGATAGACATGGACATGACAAATTCTATTGAATAACTAATGAACTATTACAATAAATATAAATTTTCGTTTAGATTTTATGTCTGAAGACAAAAACAATTTTGGCCGACTGATATGTGTCATCCTCCATGCTTGTACCCGAAATGTTATTAAGACGGATGATAGGCGGGGATGTAAGTAGATTTTCTTCCTGTTTTGTGGTCGCCATTTTATTTGTTCACCAGTGGAGTCTGGTTTTGCACACAAAATCTGCTATTACAGATTCCGGTGTCCAACCATTTATCAAATTTTGGCTGCAGATGGCAGGGCCCAGTCACAGCAAACACTGGAAAATCTCGCTTCTAATGACAAGCAGAGCTGATAATGCAGTTTCTAAATTGAATATATAACCATTCCACAATATCAATTATACCATAGTTGGGAAGCCTCTTGGTCACAGGCTCAGACAGACCACAGACAAAACAGACACAGACTTACCAATTTGAAGTGAAATTGAAATTAAGACTACGGCTGTATAAAGTCAATACTGATATACACTGATTGGACAATATATACATTATGGAAATGACACATTTCAAAATGAAAATGAAAAAATATGAATAGCAATTAAGATAAGAGAAAAAATGCCACTTGGGTATATGCAATGCGGAGGTCGGAAAAGTCATTAGTTCTCATATTTAGCTCATTGATCTCGACTGAAAGCCGAAGCGAAAAACATTAAAATAAAACGCCATAAGGCTTGTTGTATGTACAGTAAAATAAAACTCATCTCTATGTGACAGCAGTGTTGTACCTTTAGCAACATGTCATAGTTTTAAATTTTATAATATTATGAGGATCCCGCGGAGAACTATTGATTTTAAACTCAACAGTTCTAGGGAAAAGGTTTTCTTGTCAGGAACCAATGACCACCAATGAATGCAAAGATGCAGAAAGTCTGGCACCAAAGTCTGATTGAAATTGTATGTATTTTAAAATGTCATTATACAATTATTTTTTTTTGTAAATTTTATTGAAAATTGAAGAATGTCTCTTTCTTTCTGACATTTCTCACCAAATGGTCCAAGAACGTTCCATTTGACTCAAAAATTATTTTTCTGTTTTGTCAATCTTTCCATAAAATATATTCATGAATGAAGTCTGAAGGGAAGTGACCCTTTAAGATATTTGTACAGTTATGGATATAAATCTGCTGGGATCAGTATGATGTGTAAAACGCTCCAAGATGTCTTTGGCAGGTTCTGATTGGTTAAGAGCATTTTACTGGCTGCTGACATACGAAGACCAATTTGACATGTACTAACCTGCTAAGATGCATTTGATGCGTTTTTTAGACATGATCTCCAACTGGTTCTGACATCGCTGCTTCAGATCCTCCAGGGAAAGGTCCTGCAAAATATTGACATATAGGTCATAACATTCATTTCAAGGTCATATGATGGTCAATACTTCTGTAAGGCCAGACATTGGTTAACAGAATGTTCCTAGCAAGGTCAAACAAAGGTAATAAGAATTTCCCCGTCAAACTCGAACAGGTCAGAAAATCCACTCCTGACATTACACTATACAGTGTAGCCGTACCTGACAGTGATACAATCCACTCTTGACATTATAATAAACAGTGTAGCTGTACCTTACAGTGATACAATCCACTCATGAGAATACACTTAACAGTGTAGCTGTACCCTACCTTGATATAATCCACTCCTGGCAATACACTAAACATGTAGCTGTACCTTAGAGTGATACAATCCACTCTTGACATTACACTTAACAGTGTAGCTGTACCTGACAGTTATACAATCCACTCCTGACATTACACTAAACAGTGTAGCTGTACTTTACAGTGATACAATCCACTCTTGACAATACACTTAACAGTGTAGCTGTATCTGACAGTTATACAATCCCATCCTGACATGAAACTATACAGTGTAGCTGTACCTGACAGTGATACAATCCACTCCTGACATTACACTAAACAGTGTAGCTGTACCTTACAGTGATACAATCCACTCATGACAATACACTTAACAGTGTAGCTGTACCCTACCTTGATACAATCCACTCCTGACATTACACTAAACAATGTAGCTGTACCCTACCTTGATACAATCCACTCATGACAATACACTAAACAGTGTAGCTGTACATTACAGTGATACAATCCACTCTTGACATTACAATAAACAGTGTACCTATACCCTTCAGTGATACAATCCACTCATGACATTACACTATACAGTGTAGCTGTACCTGACAGTTATACAATCCACTCCTGACATTACACTAAACAGTGTAGCTGTATCTTACAGTGATACAATCCACGCATGACAATACACTAAACAGTGTAGCTGTACCTGACAGTAATACAATCCACTCCTGTCATTACACTAAACAGTGTAGCTGTACATTACAGTGATACAATCCACTCATGACAATACACTTAATAGTGTAGCTGTACCTGACAGTAATACAATCCACTCTTGACATTACACTAAACAGTGTAGCTGTACCTGACAGTGATACAATCCACTCTTGACATTACACTAAACAGTGTAGCTGTACCTTACAGTGATACAATCCACTCTTGACAATACACTAAACAGTGTAGCTGTACCTGACAGTGATACAATCCACTCCTGACATTACACTAAACTGTGTAGCTGTACCCTAAAGTGGGTGGAACTCCCCATTTGAGAACACAAATATGCAAAAGACACTGCCATGATACACTGGTGTTGTATGGTTACCATGGATATTAAAATCAGATGGGGCTTTGTTTATTTCATATCACAAAGAGATAAAATTGTCATACTAATATAGCCATTTCTCTGAGGACTGTTAAAAAGCTTCCAATTAGGATTAAACATACAACAGTTCATTTGAAATTCTGTAGAACTACACAATAGCGTAAAGTAAAGAGAATTTTACGACACTAGAATTACACTGTAACACTGTAAATTAAATTTACTCCTACCATTGAAAACACATCTATTGAAAACCAACACATAATTGTGTCACAGATTCCATCTGTTGAAATATTATCAAAACATTGATATTCAAATAAAGTGAAATTCCAACCTTTTCCAATATATTTCTGTCTCCAAATTTGAAAACCAATGGCATTAAATGTCAAGCTCGGGTGTTCAGGAAATGGTAAAAATATGAATGTGTTTAAGTATGTTTTAATGTCAAACTATGGATCTGTCTATCATTTTATTACAAACTTGAAAAAGGTAATTTCCTGTAATTTGTGCTTAACTGGAATAAATTAATCCCAGAGAACACAAAGCGGCCAGGGAGATGGCGCCACAGGAGAATCCTCCGCCTTGTGTCGCTATATAGATGCCACCTACATCATCAGCTTCAAAGCCTTAACTTATCAATTTTAAATTTCTTACCAGCCTGGCCCAACCTTTATCTCTGTTAATTTAAATAGGTAACAATCTACCTGTGTTACCTGTCAAGGGAACTGATTAACCTGTGGCCAGGTGCAAATCTTACAACCCCGGCCAACAGGCAGTGCACTCTAACACAAAATCAAGTAATCACCTAATTCAACAACTCTCTAATTCAAGGAAGAAAAAAAAGAGCATCATAAAATGGAATAATTTATTTCTTGTACAAATATTTCCAGGAGAAATAAAATAAAAGCTTGAGCACTGGTAGTAATATAATAGCCGAGACCAGTCCTGGACCAGGATGGGCAGAGAACACTTTTTATCATTTAGATTGATGTTTTTGAGGTCTTCCTTTGTTTTATACACCAAATGGCTTTAAATAAGGTCATAATTTTCAGAAAATGAACATTCTTAATACCTCTTTATTTTCTTTTTATTACAAGTTTTTTAACATCAGTTGGTATTTAAACCCAGAACATAAATTGCATGGATTTTACGACCCCTATCTTCATCAAAGATTGCAAGCACTATGGACCATAAAACTAGACTGATGGGTTCAATGAGGTCACCCGGCCTATAGGAACTGCACAACAATTAAAACAACCACCAATACACAATACATGTAATTTTGATCAAATATCGTTGTTATGATTTGGTTGGCAGTTATTAGCATGTATGTAATACTAGAAGTGGCACCTTGGGGAATAGAGAGGAAGTTAGGGAGGGAGTGTATTCACATCAGCTGTTAAGAGTGGGGGGAGTGTACTATTACGGGGAGCCAGATTTCTTCATTAACTAGGTTAATTGGTGTTGTCACAATGACAATTATCTCATTTAATCCTATACCAATACATTTACCTTGACCTGATTAGTAGTTAGTTTGAACAAATTAAATATATCTGAGATTTGTGAATATTGATCAACTGAGGTTATAATCAATATACTTATTCTAAAATTAATTTCCTTGAAGCAACTTTTACCTCTGTAGTTTATCATCAGAGTGACCTTGACCGAAAATTAACCTTGACTTGACCCCTCACAACAATTATATCTGCATATGATTATCAGTGCTGTGTATAAGATACAGTAAATAATTATGAGGTACAGCAAATAGGTAAAAGAAATAGCAGATAAGTATAAGAAACAGCTAAAAGCAAAGATACAAAAGGTAAGTATGTGATACAGCAGATGAGTGTTATATACAGTAGATGAGTATAAGATACAGCAGATAAATATGGAATACAGCAAATAAGTATGAGATACAGCAGATAAGTATACATTACAGCATATAAGTATGAGATACAGCAGATAAGTATACAATACAGCAGATATGTATACAATACAGCAGATAAGTATAAGATACAGCAGATAAGTATAAGATACAGCAGAAGAGTGTAAGATACAGTAGATAAGTATAAGATACAGCAGATATGTATAAGATACAGAAGATAAGTATAAGATACAGTAGATAAGTATACAATACAGAAGATAAGTATAAGATACAGCAGATAAGTATACGATACAACAGATAAGTATAAGATACAGCAGAAGAATGTAAGATACAGCAGATAAGTATGAGATACAGCAAATAAGTATGAGATACAGCAAATAAGTATACAATACAGTAGAGAAGTATAAGATACAGCAGATAAGAATACGATACAGCAGATATGTATAAGATACAGCAGATAAGTATGAGATACAGCAGATGAGTATACAATACGGAAGATAAATATAAGATACAGCAGATAAGTATTAGATACAGTAGATAAGTATAAGATACAGTAGCTCAGTATAAGATACAGTAGATAACTATAAGATACAGCAGATAAGTATAAGATAGAACAGCTAAGGTTAGATACAGCAGATATGCAGTTGAAGGACTATTTCTTTAAGAAAGGTAGGAATGAGTATCTAATGAATATGACAGGTTTTTTTCCCTTTTTTAAAAGACAATCATATTCTGACATATTTTATCAATAAATCAGGAACTTATTTTGTGTAAGAAATAACCAAAGTAAAGCTTCAAATGGCAGGGCATAGGGTCAGGCACTTCTACCTACCGAGGTCAATGTCCCTTGAGCTCAAATCTATTTCAATAATCCCAGAACTTATCAGAGGATTCAGACGTTAAATTCATAGTATCTAAATGTGTTTAACAAATCTACGCCCCTCTTTAAAATATTTCAAGATCTCTGGACTTTTGGACCCTGGGGTATATTGGCATCTTCCTTGGGGGGAGGGGGGAAACAGAAAGGATGGAGGGATGAGGGAATGCCTGATAAGTCTGTTTTGAGAAAACATCAAACGGCACCATTTATTGACAGAAAATAAAATGTAATTTGAAATTTCTCATCTGTTAATCAATTCCATTTCAGTTTCCTAGTCTAGTGTAGTGGAATATCAATGGTGTTTTATTTGAACAGCTGTACAGCTTTGCTAGAATCTTGTCTTGGACAAGATGAAAAAACCTGAACATGCATCATTGGACTTGCTTCACATCAAAGCATCTAAGATCTTTCAACCTCACACTCCCTGTTAGTTTATCTGTAGACAAAGTTTATTACTTCAATCTCCATTATCAAAACAGAAGCTTGTAAAATGGAGTAAACTACATACCAGCTTGGAGTGCTGTCCCCCCTCCCCACCCCCTCCTGATACCTCTTAGCGGCCACCCTTCAGGTCAGGTAAGTTTACTTAGCCAGAAACCTCAACTACAACCCTATGCTACCCATATTTTTAACAAAAATAAGGTCTAAAGCTGAAGCATATCATATTGACTATTTCACATTAATATTTACAACATTTCTATTCCAAATAAGAATTTCACACATAAACAAACTGCCCAGAAATTCCTAACTTCCGCTGTAAAATTCAAAATAAATCGGTTTGTATATACACATAGTTTTGACCCTTTAATGTTTAATAACATATGGTGCCGGGGTAAACCTTCATCAATCTCACGCTGAGCTTCAATTCACTCCA